CTACACTAAACTCTTCACAACTATTTTTCAATTCATAAGCATCCTTTAAGACCAAGAAACCCATAACCAAAACCAAAAAATCATTCTAAACATTTCACATAACCATCAGCCCAATTAAGGAACACTTGGACCTAGTCTTATCTCCTATGTATTGACATATCATCTTAAACTCCATCAAACTCTACTATCAACTCCTAATCATAAGTTCTTATCATAAGCTAACATTCAACCATTATTTTCAGTCATTTATCTCACATATAATTTTCTTCCTAAAGTGATTTTCTAAATTAGCCAAAATTAAACTAGTCTTGACATTCATACTAATATTATGCTCTAAACCCTCTATCATTACACCATAACTCCAGAAAATCTCTTTAAATATCAAACTAAAGATTCACCACTTTTGCTAATCATTAATCTAACCAGAAGGCTACCCACCACCACTATGTATATAAGATTAAGTTTCCAAATAGATTTAGTCTATTTAAAACTCCAAGAGAATTACGTAGAAAATTTGATATGCTTAAATAAGACATATGACATATTTAGCTAGATGGGACTTTGATAAACATAGAGAATATTTAAACAAATTACTTTCCTGAATATAAGTTAAATACAAGAATTTGGATTTACCCCAAATACTTAGAGGGTCATTTATGTATGAAGTCTATACTTCTTTGCCTATATATTAGTATAGGTTTTGTCCAAAAGAGTAATTCAATTAGTTTGGGTAAATACTTGATACATAATCCTAATGACTATAAGCTTTGATGATAAAAGCAAAAGAGTCGTTAAAGTTGAGTAGCAAGAGATATCATCAATGGATAGAAGCAGATGATGAGCTATCGGAGATCAATCACTTATATGACACTATCAGCGACTGCAACAAGCCCTGTGGATGCTTGTCCGGCTACTTGGGAGACGTATAAAGATGACATGGTTATTGGAGGTTGCTCTCACCAACCGGTGAGGTGAGGGCTCGGATTGGAGAAATTGTTCTCTGCATACACTTGACTGTCTGGAGGCAAATCATAATGTGTCACGTCACTTGGTACACAGCGGTACATAGCCGCAGTACACAACAAAAGAGTGATGTGGCGCATTTTGATTTGCCTCTAGAAGGAGTTTGGATCTGCACATAATAATTTTACCTTGGATTGCCTGAGTGAAAGAAGAAGCCGCATAATCAAAATACTACAGATATAGATAAATGCCTGGAACATACTAGCACTGGCAAGTGAAGAGTTCTGTACGCTCAATGATTCTATGTAGACTTAGGATTCGTTTGGGATGTATTTTTTACTAATTTCTAAAGCATTTTGCTAGTAAAAAATTCTAGAACTAAACTTCTTTATTAAAAAATTGTTTTAGAAAGCATTAAGAAAGATGCCCCATACAGAACCTTAATCAAGCTGTGATGTTCATTAAAAAAAACACTTACTTTAAAGCAAGCCATGGAGAAAATAGAAGTTGCAACAAAGTTGAACTCTCCAAAAAGACAATATGATCTCATGCTCAAACTCACCATTTCAAGTCATCAAGACTACTATGCACTACCACACAATATTTGTCCCTAAGATCATCTGAATTCATCACAAAAATGGACTACAAAGTCTCAAAAGTGACCAAAGTTTGTCATCAACTTAGGCTTCGTTTGAGACAGCTTTAAGCCACTATTTTTTCTTGCTTTTAAGAGATTTTGTAAAAAAAATCAAGTTTTTAAAACAGCAAAAAAATCATCTCAAATAAAGCTTCAGTGTGAAGTCGCTCAATGACTCATCCAAACTAATCCCTAACTTGGAACCCGCTTTGAGTTATCTATATAATTTAATAGCTGCAAGCTAATTAGGCTTATTTGTTTTAGTCTTGCTATTTAATATCCTATAAATTTAGATTTTCATGTAATCTTTTATCTTGAATCATACTTATAAATAAGGGATTGGATGATGAGTCTCTAACACCAAGTAATATCTTGACATCCTTAAATTTTATTTGTAGTATAATAAAATCTCAAAACTATTCTAAGTTTTCTTTCTCTCTTTTCTTTTTTTTTTTTTTGTTTCTTTAACGTGGTCCATAATTAGGAAAGTTTGAATGCATCTATAAATAGATTTGGATCTAACATCTTTTATGCATGGTGAGTGATGTCAATACCTAAAATAGAAATTCAAGCAAATGAACATTTAAATAGAAAGGAAACCTCAATCTCAAAGGAGCAACAAAATTTTCACTTTTGAGTAGTTAAGGTTTCATATGTGGTGACTTTCTTTTTTTTTTTTTAAAACAGATTTTTAATACAAAAATTTTAATATTTGTATTAAAAACCTGTTTTAAGAAACAGTAAGAAAGCTATCCTAAACAAGGCCAATATCAAATAAAAATCATTTAACAAAATTGATTGAAGGAATTTTGAGACATTATAGAAAAATATCTCCTATTCATTGACTTTAAGACATAATAGACAATTTTCAACTTGTTTAATTGTACCTAAGCCGAACCTATTTCTTTCATTTATTCCTTTCTTCCTCCTATTATTTTGGCCCCATTTAATTATATCCAACCCATGCTACTAGCCACCTTAATTCTATGTGATTTACTCGATTCCTCTATAGATCTGAATGCACAAAACCTCTTATGCCTATTAAAAGCTTAGATTTGAAATGTTATTCATAATATTTTCTAATTTCTATTTCAAAGTTTTAGAGATATCATTTTTATGAGATTGATATATATATATATATATATATATATATATCATCAATTGCTAAAAATATATTTATAGCTTAGATCTATAATATTTTTAGATATATGTATTATTTCTTTAATATGTATTTTTTATTAAATCAATTTTTTTATTCATAAAGCAAGTAGACTGATAATGTTGTTTGGAGAAGCCCATCAAAATTCAAATTTTGTATGTTTTACCAATCAAAACTATCCAATATATTTATCACAATTACAATTACCTTCTCATGTAATCATTTGCATCTATTGAATAAATCTTGAATCATCGATTCAATAATATTTAAATATCTTGAAGTCTAGGACTTAGTAGAAAATTCATCAAAAATCAACCAAAATTTTTGCCATAGATTTTTTTTCTTGGATTTATTGTGCGCCGGGATGCTTTTTCGATGAGGGTTTTACCAACAAAAGAAATTCGCCAAAATCCATCAAAATTTTTTTATGAGGGTTTTAGGAGCCTTTGGACATTTTTTAGGGTTTATTTTTGCCAAATAAACTACTATTTTTGTGTTGAGTCAAGGCCTCAAAGAAGAATCATTTAGATATGCATTCTTATAGACAGAATAAAAAGCTTTGACTAAGTTGATATAACTCGTAAATAGTCTTATTAATGCGAAAGAATACTATAGTATTAAGACTTCAGGCTTAAGCACTTGACATTCAAATGACATCATCACTCATCAATAAATTTATCAGCAACAGCTAAATAGGTTATTCCACCCCCTGTCTCCTCCATTATTCCCACAACGTCGTACCAATGATCCATCTACATATTGTGATATAGATGATTGTTAGCATCTTCATAATATAATTAAGGAGCTTATTAAAGCTAAAAATAACTTATATTCACCATCTCTTGATGATGATATGAGAATGTAAAAGAAGATATGGCTTAACCTACCCCCATAACTCATAAAAATAGTATAAATAATCCCATAAAAACTTGAAAAAAAGGATAAGTAAGAAAGGTAAGTGTCCTTTATACGATTTGTCATTCATTTATATTAAATATTTGAATAACATGAGTTACCAAATATTTATCTGATTTTTTAATGAGAAAAAAAATCTAGTTTTAATAACCTAGAAAATATATACTTAATTTGTTTTAAATTATATTTGAGAAAACTATCCAAAAAACTCGACGATTCACTTGGAGAACTCATCCTACGAACTCAACAATGCACTCGAAGAACTCATATTAAGACTCTATAGAACTCATCAATAACCATTGATTATTTCGTCTAACAAAATCTCATATACTCATAGCAAAGATTAGATATTTCTTGACTCAATATGGAGGAAAGAATATTGGGATTGCTCTTCATAAAATAGGAGGAGATGCTTTAGAAAGAAGAAATAAACACTTTCATTAAAAGAGTCAAAATTATCTAACTAGCTTTATAATCCTATATGGATTATGTTTTTCACTAAATCTAATTAATCTTAATAAAATACCTCCTAAGCAAGTTTAAAAAATTTTGCAGTCGTTTTATTTCAATGAAGCAATTATACTTTTTAAGAAATGTATGTTACCACATTATAAATCATTAATGTTAATTTTTAACCATCTAATACATGAATGTTTAGGTAATATCATTCTTTGTGAATCAGATAAACTCATATGATGATTATGACCCTCCTCTATTAAAACGTATAGTAAACATAAATTATTGACTATATATCTTCATAAATACAAGGAGTTTTAATTTTTATTTAATTTTTTTAAATTTGACCAAAGGGCTATCCTCTAATTTCTTTTAAAAGAAAATTATTTACTAAACATTGATTTTATGATTCTTAACACTTTATTAGTTTTATATATAGACAAAATTCTCCAATAATCATAGCATTATTAGTTACTCCAAATAAGCACATATCATTAATAAGATAAACATCACCCAAATTTTGGTAAATAATCATCTTAAATTATATATATATATATATATATATATATATATATATATATATAATATATATATATTCAATTAAATTTTATAATTACCACAATAATGACAATATGCAAGCCATGAACATAGATGACAAATGAATTAATATGAGAAAGATTAATAATAATAAATTTGGCGGTAAATTAAAATTAATATGAATGTGAGGCAAATTAAAATTAAATATTAATAAAATAATGTTAGCTTCTCTAGGCTAGTTTGTAGGTCAGAGGCCCGTGGCCTCACAGGGGCCGGCCGATATATGAAATGAAAACATAGAGAGAGATAATGAGAACTGCAGGATGATAGGGACCAGAGAGAGAGGAAGGTGAATAACGCTATTGGACTTTTGTATATTGTACGCCAGAGGAAATAGAGAAGAAGGGGAGGAGAGAGAAAGAAGGGGACAGAGTACCCAGTACTGTGCCTTCTCCAGTCTCTACCATTCACGAGAGTGATAGCAAAAAAAACAGAAAAAAAAAAAGGAAAGAAACGGGGAGAAAGGAAGAGCAGGGAAGATGAAGAGTAGCAATTTATTGTGGGAGGGAAACGAGCGTGAGAACCAGATGAAGAAAGTCTTCTGCTTGTTCTTCTTTGGAGAAGAAAAGCTTTGAAGTTCGCTTGCAACCCAATCCACTTCCTCCCGGATTTGTCTCAGATTCAAAAAAAGGGAAATGGTGCATGTTTGATCTAGACGGGGAGAGAGAGAGTGAGTGAGAAGACTGGGATATTGCTCATCTGTTGTATGCGGAGGCGGTATTATTAGATGAGGGGGTTGCCCTTTAACTACCAGAGGAAGGGGACGGTGCTAGTATTAGAATCTCAAGCGAGAGGAACCGGAGTGGAAGAAAAAACCGGCGTCTTTTGGAGCAGCAGCGTTCAGAATAGGAAGAAAGGTGTCATCTTGGAGCCGAGATCGGTTCTGGATCAGAGAAGCCCGAGTCCTCCAACCTCCACGTCCACCCTGTCTTCTCCCCTCGGTGGCGGGGCCGCGCGCTTCACTGACACCGCCGGCGTGGCGGCTGTTTCCGGAAAACCCACCTTCAAATGGACCAACACCGCCGGCGAAGAAGGCGGGAGAAAAGAGGAGTGGGCACCCGAGCTCCACCCTGTTCCGGCGTCACTGGAGGTGGATTGGGATAACATGCTCTCTGAATCCGCTGCTTCCCCTGGACAGGAACAGACTTTTCTTCACTGGATCATGGGAGACATAGACGACCCAGCGAAGCAACAGCATCTGATGCTCTCTTCTCCAACTTCCATGGCAGAAATTGACTCCGGAAGCCATGGCGTTGGCTTCGGGCTCATCGATCCTGGCTTTGGATTTGAACCCAATGCTTCAGCCTCCGCCATTAGCAGCCATCCACCGCCGCCACAACTGGATTCTGCTCCCGGTGAAAAAAATCCCATTTTCACGGCCTCGCTGCCCCTTTCCTTACCTCAGGCAATGTTCTTCCAGGAAACAACGGAAGAAAAACCCCAGTTCTTTGGCTCAAACTTCCTCCTTAACCAGTTCCAACAAACACAGGTTCCAGCAAACCCAGCCTTCTTCGTACCACTTCCATCTTTCTCCTCCTCGATGGAGAACCTCGTTTCCACTCCTCATCCCGGCGCCAGATCTGAGATCTTCCTCCGGCCGCAGCCCAACCAAAGCTTGAACTTTCATCAGCTCCACCCTGTTCCTTACCATCTTCAGCATCGGCCTTTGAAGCCCAAGTCTCTATCGGCTGGGGACGAGGCCATTGCTATCCAACATCAGCAGCAGCAGGTTCTAGTCGATCAGCTCTTGAAGACGGCAGAGCTAGTTGAAGCTGGAAACTTGGTCGGCGCGCATGGGATATTGGCGCGGCTCAATCACCAGCTCCCCTCCGCAATTGGGGAGCCCTTCCTCCGCTCGGCCTTTTACTTCAAGGAGGCTTTGCAACTCCTTGTCAATTCCGCTAATCCGCAGGCTGCGACCTCCTCCCCTCCTCACCACCATCGAACTCCATTCACTTCTCCATTGGCTTCTCCATTGGATGTTGTTCTCAAGCTCAGCGCTTACAAGGCCTTCTCAGAGGTCTCCCCAATCCTGCAATTCACCAACTTTACTGCCACACAAGCTCTCCTTGAAGAGATTGGTGCAGCAGATTGCATTCACATAATCGACTTTGACATTGGTGTTGGGGGGCAGTGGTCCTCCTTCATGCAGGAACTGGCACACCGTCGGTCATCATCATCAGCCCTTTCCATGCTCAAAATTACCGCCTTTGTCTCCCCTTATGCCTTCCACCCCCTTGAGCTCCATCTCACCAAGGAAAACCTTTCACATTTTGCAGCAGACCTCAACATCCCCTTTGAAATTAACATAGCAAGCATTGAATCCTTCGACCCTGCTGAGATCCTTGTTCTGTCTGCCGGTAGCAATGAGGCCATTGCTGTGAACCTCCCTGTTGGAGTTTGGCAAGGCCCTTCTTTTCCAACTCTTCTTCGCCTCGTCAAGCAGCTGCTGCCCAAGATTGTCATTTCCATGGATCAAGGATGTGATCGGGGCGACTTGCTCTTCTCCCATTACTTACGTCATGCATTGCAGTCCTGCATAGTTCTCCTGGACTCCTTTGATGCGGCAGGTACTGACCAGGATCTAACTAATAAGATAGAGAGGTTTGTTCTGCAACCTAGGATTGAGAATTGTGTGATTGGGCGCCACTGTACTGCTGAGAAGATGCTGCCATGGCGAACTCTTTTTGCCTCAGCTGGGTTTGTTCCATTTCAATTCAGCAACTTCACAGAGGCTCAGGCTGAATGCCTCTTGAAAAGGGTTCAGGTTAGGGGGTTCCATGTTGAGAAGCGCCAGGCTGCACTTTACCTGTATTGGCAACGAGGGGAGCTAGCTTCTGTGTCGGCTTGGAGGTGTTAAACTGTATTCTACTGCTGTCTCCTTGTTGGATTTCCTACTAGATGTTGCAGAGTAGGGTAATTATATAATCTTTCAAGGCATGTTAGATTCTAAAAAAGTGAAACTTCTGTGGTGAAAAACCTTTTTCTTGTATCCTAATTGGCTTCATCTTACCATGTGGTCATCTAATCTACTGATTCTGATGCGTTTCTAGACTGATTGATTCTCCAGTAGAAAGGTATTTGACAATTTTTGAATGTCTGGTTTAGTTTTTATTATAAATTTTGCAAATGCATTTTATATTAGGCAATAATTATTTGCTTCTTGCTATTAGGTTGCCTTTATTATCATATCTAAACTATCACTTATACTAAATATTTATAGTAGGAATCTATAATAGTTATCATTGTAATATATCCTTATTGTTGAGGGCATTTTCTTTTTTGTGTTTCTCTTTATAGGAAACTTTGTATTATCATAATCAATTTAGCAAAGATGTCTTCTTAAGATTTCTATTGTATTTGAATGTTAAAAAAGCTACTAGGCTTGAGAATGTTAATGAAGGCAAATTTTTATGATTGGTGAAAGGCACATTATCATAGTTTATGCGAGTTTGCAACAAATTTTTCATCGGAAAATCTGAATTTTTCCAAAGAAGTTTGATGAATTGTGATTGATACTATTAGAAAACTTTGGCAGTTGAGAATTTTGAATGACATTAGTAGAATGGTTAAGTATGTGTGATGTTACTGTTTGGATGTACTATGGTTCTTTTTTATGGAATTTGAGAAATTTCAGTTTTATAATCAGCTGACTTTCTATGCTATTAGCATTTATGGCAATAAGCCTTGGTTCAAGCTATGTCAAATGAATGTTTTCTTTTATATTGACCTTCCAACTTGACTAGTAACAAGACAATTTTTGCTTGCCAAAATAAGTTCATATCGCCTCGAATAATTCACTGGTCTGGTCCAGCTCGGGATTTCACCATTGATGCTGTATTCTTTTGATTGTGTGGTTATGTCCATTAAAGTGTGCATTGCTGTCTTCCAAAGGCCAAAGGTGTTCTATCTGTGGTCCTGAAAGATGTCTCAGTGAGTGGCTTATTCCAGCTCTTGTGGCCTGGAATTATATGCCATATGGTGAGTAATGGTCTGCTTTTGATCACTTGGCAGTCATATTCAGATTTCCACCCACTTGTAGGGATTGCAGATTAATGTTTACAATTGCGAAGGTTTCAGAGACAAGTCACTTTTAACAATACTAATGGTCTTTAATCTGATAGATTATTATGTGTGGTGTTCGGATCATTCGGAATTGTTTAGAATTCCTCGTTGGTATATAGATGTCTCTTATCTCCAATTGTTCAGAACATGAAGCCTAATATTGTAGTTGCAGAAAGAAGCTTCTTCATCTTCTGTTTATGTGATCTGAATCACATAACTTTTTGAATCTCTTAGATATATGCCATCTCTCTTCATCTCCTTTGTTTTTGTTTAGAGTGCAAGGATTTCTCTTTGGTCTGCTCTCTTCATCCTTGGCTGTTTGGGAGTGTTGAAGTTAAGACTAACCGTTTGAGCTAGCTTATGGGCAAAGCCTAGGAAGTAAATGACGTAAAGTATATTGAGAATGCAAAGTAGTTTCTTACTGGGAGTGAAATCAGAGTAAAGCTAATATTCCTGTAGCGATTCTCATCATTGACGAAAACATTTAGATTGATGGATGACCATCCGTCAACATCTTGCACTCAATTTGGGTCATTAATGTTTCTCCCTCTTCAGAAGTGGCATCGAAGTCAATGGTTTGATTAGGATTAACTCTTTGTTCAGGATAGTTTTTGACTATTATTTTTTTGCTGATTTTAATATTTTTTAACTAAAAAATTATAAAAAGTGCTAAGAAAGTTGTCTCAAATAAAAACAAAGTGTTACATGTAGTCTGTAGCTCCTGTTAATGTTGGCAAAAGCTTTTATCATTTTTTGCCCATTCTTGATAGAGAGGTTGATTCCGCCCCTATTAGGGAGTTAAGTATGCAAAAAATGAGAACAGAATAACGAGGAACTCATATACTAGCTACACTATCAAATTGTATATTGTTCAAAGAACATCGTAGAACATACTTCGCTAGATGATCATACAATCTACGAGTCATACAACGAAGGTGTATCTAGCACCTTTTTTTTTTTTCTTTACTTCTTATATCAATCAACTTAGGCTTCGTTTGGGACAGTTTTTTTTATGTTTTCTAAAATAGTTTTCTAGTATAAAAATTTCTCGTTCAATAATTTTTTGCACTAAAAAGTTGCTTTAGAAAACAGTAAAAAAGTCATCCCCAATGAAGGCTTCGTTTGGGACGGCTTTCTTTCTGCTTCATAAAGCAGCTTCCTAGTACAAAAATTTTAATTTTTGTACTAGGAAGCTGCTTTATGAAGCAGAAAGAAAGCCGTCCCAAACGAAGCCGAAGTCTTAGACTCGATTGCTTTTCTAGGTATGCATAATGCCACATAACTATGGTCTTAGATGTCAAAAGGCTAATGAGTAATCATTAAATGTTCATTAGTGCTGAAATTATGATGGAATAAGAATTCAATCATCCACTCTTCTGACTTTGGTCAACAATAGCATATGTGGTATCAATTGTTCGTTATGGTGGCGTTAGTCTCACTATAATATCATTTGAATCCTAATTCATACACCTCATAGTCACATATCTTGAACATCTCAACTTAGTTTCTTTTACTATGACCTAATAAGAGTTCGCTATTGGCTCTAACAAGTTTCATGAAGTAGTAAATATAGGTCATACCAACTCATTCAAAGCCTCATCTTCATTAAGGTTATACATTTTATTTCATGTTTCTTGTTATTGAAGCAATAAGGGGATTGTCGGTGTAAGATGACTAATTTTTAAAAAAAAATTATGAGCTAAAAATATAATATTCAAATAATTATATAAAAAAAGTCAAAAGTTATTTTTATTTATATCATAAAGATATATCAATATTCATAAGAGATTATCATGAATTCAGTTCCTATTAAAACTTGGGTCCCACACACGTGTCGAACACATCGATATCTCTTCTTCTCAATTGGAATATAAATTATGTTGATCTCCTTTCATGCAATTACATCACGAATGTAATAGTATCTGTTTCACAAATATCAACCTCCCTTCCACTTCAAATGTCTTTAATGTTAATATTGCGGGCTAGAATATACATGGTGATAGAGTTAGAAAATTCACGTCTCAGCATTGTGTGGATATCTAGCACACAAACATGAGAGAAATAAAGGCACCCAGATTTTTACGTGGAAAACCCGGGAAAGGGAAAAAATCACGGGGCCACACTCAGTTGAAAAAGTTTCAATAGTGTTTGCTTGAGATACAACAGATTGGCTTGTCCTTAGAATTTATGAAGATCAGATTATAATGATTTACTCCCAGATTGAAGTCCAGTTACACACAAGTTATGTATCCGAGTTGAATTTAGAGTCACTTAGAATTTCGGCGTCACTTGGAAATCGGGCGAATTTTCGACGTCACTTGGACGTCGGGCAGAATTCCGGTGTCACTTAGGAAGAATTCCGGTTGCTTAGGCAAAATTCCGATGACGAGCAAAATTTCAATGTCGAGCAGAATTACAACGTCACTTGGGCGTCGGGCAGAACTTTGACGGTGGTCGAGGTGTTCTTTCCTCTTATCCTTCTATTCTTCTTCTATTCTTCTTCTCTTCTCTTCTCTTCTTCTCTTCTCTTCTTGCTTTGGTCCCCTATCAAGAGAAATGATGGGTCTATTTATAGATATTATGGACTGGCATAGGCTGTAAATAGGTGAGAGATCAGGGGTAAATAGGGAGTGGTTGGATGGACGATCGATATTGAATCCCTTGATCGTGTACTATTCGTCGGACATTTGAAGGTCTTAATGATGTCAAAATTTGGCGATCTTGGGCTCGTTTGATTCGTCTCGTTGAGTCGCTCGATTCGACTATAAGCACTTTATGTTTGGAAGCTGTTTGGTGACTCAAATTGTGGTTCGAACTTTCCAACAGTGCTTCGGATCCTTGATTTGGACTCATTTGGGCTCGGATTTAGTCGAATTTGGTGTCGTTGGGTTTGTATTTCCAAGACGCTCAATTTGACTGTAAGTTTGTTGAAATCAGAGTTCAGGTGATCCCGGATTTAATTTTTGAATTTTCCAACTTGATTTTGCCTCGAGATTCGTGCCCAATCAAGATGATTTTTTTTAAGGATATATCAGTTACCATAATCATCTAGTTGATGGAGAACAATAATGATTTATGTGTCCTTATTGAAATGGGCAGACCAATCAAAATTATTTTTTGACACCTAGTGAGTTAAATGAATTCAGATGTTTTGAAATTTTAGGTACTATAAGGTGATCTTATCATCTTTAATTGTGAGCGAAGAATGAAGAAGGGGTGTCACTCTTATAAGGGAGATAATTCAATACCCAAAAGAGAACTTTGTGGGGTTCCAAGCATAATTGGCATTCAATGCCATTTTAGGGTGGCGCATGCTTAGTGTTTGTGTATATATATATATATATATATATTGGATTTCATGAACATAGAAGATTATTGCACTATCTACAATTTGTTAACTTCCATGACTAATGAGAAGAGGTTTCATATAGAAAAAACATTCAAATATGAACACTAATCAATACATCAAAAATTGTGTCTAAGGCTTCGTGAGAGACGGCTTTTTTATTTGTTTCTTAAAGTATATTTTATTACAAAAATTAAAATTTTTTACTAAAAATCTGCTTTAAGAAGTAGTAAGAAAGCCATCCCAAACGAAACCTAAATCGGAGATAGTTAGAATTATGGATCTAAATTTCTTAGAACAAAATATTCATAATATTTGATGAAATATCTTCTTTAAGTGCAAATCTTTGACTAATTCATCTTCGTGGACTACGGTAATATTTTAGATATCATAAATTAATATAAAAATCTTGAGCTAATTATTTATTAACCTTTAAAAGTTTTAGGAGATCTTTAATTAGTGGATTTAAGAGATCTTATATTATCTTGTTAGATCTTATAACAAATTTTATATCTTCAAAATTATTTCATGATATCATTATAAATAAAGTTAAGAATGACGATTCCTACAATCACAGTCAAATATAAAGAAGAGTGAATATAGAGAGGCTACTAATTGCGAGGAAGAGTTTTTCAAGTTTTTAGAAGAGAAGCTTTTGATCATAGTAAGGAGAGCCCTCATTTTA